TGGCTGGCTGGCTGGCTGGCTGGCTGGCTGGCTGGCTGGCTGGCTGGCTGGATGGATGGATGGATGGATGGATGGATGGATGGATGGATGGTGCAAACGAAATCAAGGACCTTCCAAAGGAAGCCTTTGAACTTTTCTTTCGCATATCACCGGCACTATGACCATTCAGTCTGCCGTACACCGCCCAGCCTTACTTTCTCACGGCGGGGTCACCTGCCCAAAGAGAAAACAATAACACTATCAACATCTGTCAACATAGCACACCTTCGGCCCATCAACATATAAAGACATGGAGGCAAAACACATTCCCACCTGCAGCGGCTCCCCTGGAACCAAACACCTCGCTAGTCGCATGGCCGATCTAAGATCAACATGGGTGGTTGGCTTCCTTGGATTACAGCTTGGCTTTTGATCGGATTGACTTGACCCAACAGCAGCTACAACAGCTATGAGTCAACTGACTAGGACTGCCGGCAGGCCCATGCCAAACACTGGCTTTCCAGTGGAGCCACCAGAGAAGACTGCTACAGTGGCGAGAGGACACTTATGCTAATATATGTTAATCATGCTAATCCTCTGGAAACGTATGTATATGTGAAAACAGCAGCTCCAGCCGAAACGGACCGCAGCCAGTGCATGATAGGACGACCAGTACCACTCCAGAACTACTACTCGGCACACTGAAAGAATAAGAAAACGTCAGCCAACAGGTATAGGCATGGAGCCGACAAAACCCGACCAAACGCCACTTGTGGGCAGCACACAGCGCAAACGCACACAACTCAAAGACACATAAAGACACATAATACAAGTACGTGCCTATCCTGCTCTGGTCGAAAAAATCCGACCTTCATCATGGATACTGGGTTGTTCCACCTACCAAAGCTGCGCAGATCACTGACGTTTCACCGCAACCCTGGATAAGCACATCCAAACTGCACTTCAGCCAAACCAAATTTAGACCCCACCCCCAAAAAGAACCTCGCACACCTTTGTCGAAGAGAGCTGCCAAACTCGATGGCAGGGCCTTCCTCGATTTATTTCGTGAAGGGGCAACAACAAGGTCCTCGAAAAGCGACCAGCCGAGCCGAGCCGAGCCGGATTCGCCTGATCGGCATAGACCCACATCGCATCTGCATCTCCGTTCATCAGCGTCTCTAGAGCGTTCTGGTTGGCATTAGGGCCAGTCGCCGTCGGTTGAACCTGGGCAAACGAAGTCGAGCTCTCAGGTGATTCAAAGACCATGGTCTTTCAGCTGATCAGTCCATCTTCCATCATGTTATACTGGGGTGTCTGGATCGTGACGAATCGAAACCACCAGCATCCGGGCTCTGCACCTTCCCGCCGGTGCAGGGCCCGGGGGCACCACACCAGGAGCTGACGTCGATGTGTGTTGGGTGTGTTTTATTCCGCTGGAAAAAGGCACGGACGATCCACCCAAAATATCCAATTTTTGTTGGGGGGGGAGTTTGAGACATATATATAACCAGGGATGCGTGGATTTGCTGTGGTCTATGGGCTTTACATGGGCTTTACCTATAGGTATGGTCACCTATAGGAATAATGGACATCTTCATGGAGTCGAACCATCGATCACTTCAGGACAGGTCGATCTTTCAGCATCCCAGGAGAAGGACTTGGAACTACCAGTTGATGATCGCATCTCCCAGGAGTTCCATCCATGGAGCGGAATTCATGGACGGGCTTCGTTGGATTTTGGTCGGCCGTTTTTGGAAGCGAATTGAGCACAGCTGGTGTTTTCCAGAAAGCCAAAAGTTCCCTGTTCATGAAGACCGAACTCGCACAGAGGAGTTCCTGATGAAAAACCCTGCCCAAAGAAACGATGTATTACCCAGATGCTCTAAACAGCCCTTGGAGCCTTGGTCCCTCAAAACCCTAAGGAATTGAGACCCCAGACCCCTCCACATGAGACCCCCGACCCCTCCATGAGGACCCATGAGCGCACCGAACAACGGTCAAAACCGCCACGGACCGAACCAACGCGCCCGGCGCAGAAACCGGGCGGTCAGTGGAGGCTGACCCTGAAGAGTTCGGTGAAAAAGGGACCCCTCAAATCATCGAAAAAATACATTCCAAAAGCTCATTTATTGGTGAAATCTTTCGCGGATTGTGTGAAACTAGCTTGAAGAACTCCTGAAGTCACTGGAGAAGAACAACTACACTAGGCTTTCCAAACCATCGATCACGGATTCTTTTCACCACTGCGTTCCTCTCTGAACGGTCTCTGAAGGTGAAGGTGAACAACGAAAACCTGAACCCATCGTGAAAGACCGTGTCGGTGAGCTAGCTACGGCTAGCAAGGGAGATGAGAAGTGGCTTAAACCTGAAAACCTTGGAGAAACTGGTGTATCCATGTGTCTCCAATCTAGAGCAGTCCCAACGGGGTCTATTTTCCTTCTGGTGGAAACGGGGTGCAAACCAATTGGAGGTCTCCCGACCTCCCGACCACACACCGCGAGATGTTCGTTCACGTACCCAGAGGTTCTCGGCCAAGAATCAATCGTGAAGCCACTGAAGCGCGCCTTGGTGCACTTGTTCTCGACCAAGGCGAGTGTATCCTCAGCCGGCCCAACGAAGAGCCGGCCCGCATGCCGCAACGTTCCGCGCTCCCAAAGCGGCAAGCTGCAAGGTGCGCCGTGTGGTTCTATGCCGACCGATGACTTCAGCAAGGAACATGTTTGATGAATTGACAAAATCCCAGGGATACGAATCTCAAATGCTGCTTGCTTCCACAAATCCTTCTGCCCGACCCTGTTGGTGGATTACAACTTCTGGTCCGGCTTCTCATCATGTAATCCAATTCGCCATGAAACAAATGACCAGCTACCTGACCAGGACGAAACGCCCACAAACCCTCTAGGAGCACCCAGCAGAAACGCACCAAAAAGATCCAAAAAGATCCAAAAAGGGGGTCCTACCAGTTGATTCGAAAACAAGTGGAGGGAGGAATTGCTGAGCCGTTTTTGCCATGGAACTTCCCCACCGAAGGCTGCCCCCATGCTGCCCGGCTTCAGCTGTGGGTGCCCATCCGACCACGTCCACCACCTTCAGCCCATTGAGGTTGTGATTGCCGTCGAACCTCGGGGCGAAGGTGTTGCAGACCAGACGAGGTCGGCTTTGGGGGTGACAATTGGATCCTGAAAAATCACGGGGTGAGAAAATCATGCCCAAAAACACAGAATTGACATGATTCCCAATCCTCGAAGACGGCATGGGTCGGCATATTGGAATGTTTAATTGATTGATGTTATGTTGTTTCGCTGATGTGTTTATTGTTCATTTCCTCACTAATGTGTGTCAATTGGTTTTATAATGTTTTATAGCGTTGCCGTTGAGATCCTTGTTGGAACTCATCAAAAACTCATTCGAAGCATTGCTCCAAACAATTTTGCAAGGGGGTTGTACACGAGACCGGGCAGAAATGAATTGTATTCTATGTTTGTTGAGAGGGTGGGAAAAATGTGCAAGCTTGGAGTCTTGCAGCCCTCAGAAAATTGTTCGGCTTAGTCTTCTATTGTTCAGCTGTTGCTTCTTTACTACTACGACTACGACTACGACTACGACTACTTACTACTTACTACTTACAGTACTACTTACTACTTACTACTTACCTACTGCTTACTGCTTACTACTTACTACTTATATACTACTACTACTACTACTACTACTACTACTACTACTACTACTACTA